AATAAAGAATATGCTTGCTTCCTTAAACAAGTTGGGAGTTTTGACTCTTTATAGTCTCTAAGAGAGTTTATTTTAAGTTGCCTTTATTCCTTAAATGATTGATAGAATTTTCTGGTGTGTCCCTCCAGGTCTTTGGTGAATTCTTTCTTTAAAAGGACTGTTCGAATTTTCCATATCTTCCTGTTTCCATTTTGGTGAATTGTATTTTTCTAGGAATTTGTCCATTTCATCTAAATTGTTAATTTATTGGCATAAAAAATATTGATACTATTTCTTAATACTTTGAGGACTGCAGGATCTAAATAAAATGTCTCTTTTTCACTGATATCATTGGTTATTTGTTCCTCTTTCCTTAATCAATATTGCCAGGAGTTTATTAATTGATTAGTCTTTTCAAAGAGCAAAATTTTGGCTTCTTCATTATATGTTTGTTATATAGTTCATTTACTTATGTCTTTTATTTATTTCTATCGGTATTTGTACTGTTTTTACTTCATCAGTACTTTTTTACTTCTAACATATTATTTTTCAGTCCTTTTTTACAATAATATATACATTTAAAGCTATACATTTCCCCTTAAGCACTGCTTTAGCAACATCCCAAAAGTTATGATATGTCATGTTTTGTTATCATTCAGTTAAAATTATTTTTTGATTTCCATTATGACATCTTATAAAAATGGCATGGCAAAGGTGTCTGACCTCATCTAATTTCACAAGGGGAAGGAAGAATCAAGATCAACAGCCCATGGCTGATTCCTGTGAGGCAGAGATCAGATGTGCCTTCTCTCTCTGCCATCTTTACCACTTCTGACACCAATTGTCCCTCCCACAGCACTCTCGACATCTCTGCTGGGTTCAATAATTCATTGCAGTGGCCACACAGAACTTACAGACAGTATTCACGACCATAGGGTTTATTAGGGAAGTAACAGGTTACAGTTCAGGTTCAGGAATGCTCAGGATACAGTTCTTGCAGGCGTGCTTTTCTCTGCCCCCTTGACCTGTCAGCCCCTCGGCCTGGCCTCTACCCTGCTCAGGTGAGTGTTACAAAGCTCCTTTAGCTCTGCCAAAAGTGCCTGGAGGCACCCTACTCCTCCAGTAAGCCTCGTACCGTAAGGGGCTTAGCTTTCTCGCTTCGTGGCCAGCTCCTGCCAGTCTCCTGTTCTGCTGCCTCTGCAGCCACCATTTCTCTGCTGCTGCTTCTCACTGTCGCCGATGTTTCAGCTCTCCCTCTGTCCTGGTTCTGCTGCTTCTGTCTGTCTTCCATGTTACAGCTCCTCGCTCTGTCTCTTGGATCTAGGAGGTTCTCAGTGCAGGGATCACAGGTCCAAAGAACACGCTCCACTCTTGGCACTTCTTTCTTGGTGGTGTTGAGATCCTTTCTTCTCGCCTCTGGGATGGTTTATTTTAAGCCTAGCAGGGTGGTAAAATTGACCAGTACCCTCATTAGGGTTTCATACACCTTATTTGCATGGCCCACCCCCACAAGGGTGCCATGCACCTTATTTACATTATTAGCAAACTATCCAATCCCCTTGGTGGGCCACAAGTACCTCATTTGCACAGTCCCACCCGGTCATTTGGTAGAAATCACAAAGACTATGGCTAGAAGGGCCATATTAAGTAATTGACTGCACCGTGCATGTACTTTGACCCATGGGTTATTTAAGATCATTTCCTTCTGTCTGAACAATACTCATTAGTATTTCCTATAGTGTGGGTCTTCTGTTGGTGAAGTCTGTCCATTTATGTTGGTCTGGAATGTCTTTATTTCATCTTCTTCCTGAAGAATGTTTTTGTAAGGTATATTGGTCATGATTTTCTTTCAACACATTCAAGGTACCATTGCATTGTCTTCTGGATTTCATTGTTTCTATTCAGAAGTCAGTTTATAGTCTACTTGTTGCTACTATGAAACTAACTGCCCTTTTTTCCCCTCTGATTGCCTTTTTTTTCGTCTTTGATGTTTGGCATTTGCACCCTGATGTGTCTGTTTATTTTTTATCTAACTTAGGGTTTATTGGGATTTCTAAATATGAATGGTGTCTTACTGTCTAGTGCTGCTCTAACAGAAATACCACAAGTGGATGGTTTTAACAAGGAGAAGTTTATTTCCTCACAGTCTAGTAAGCTAGAAGTCCAAATTCATGGTGTCAGCCCCAGGGGAAGGCTTTGTCTCTCTCTCGGCTCTGGAGGAAGGTCCTCGTCATCATCAGTCTTCCCCCAGACTAGGAACATCTCTGCGCAGGAACCTCAGGTCCAAAGGACACACTCTGCTTCCAGTGCCTCTTTCTTGGTCGTATGAGGTCCCCAACTCTCTGCCTGCTTCCCTTTTCTTTTATCTCCTGAGAGAAAAGGTTGTGCAGGCCACACCCCAGGGAAACTCCCTTTACATTGGATCAGGGATGTGACCTGGATAAGGGGGGCGTTACAATCCTACCCTAATCCTCTTTAACATAAAATTACAATCACAAAATAGAGGACAACCACACAACACTGGGAATCTGGCCTAGCCAAATTGATACACACATTTTTGGGGGGAAACAATTCAATCCATGAAAAATGGATTGAATTCTTTCATCACATTTGAAAAATTCTCAACCATTGTATCTTCTGCCACATTCTCTTTCTCTTCTTCTGATTACTCTGAATGAAACATATGTTAGCCCTTATTACTATGTTCTCTATTGCTGACAGTATATTTTGTATTTTCCATCTTTTTATTTCTCTGTCCTTCATTCTGGATATTTTCCTTGGAGCAGTTTTCTAGTTCATTAGATCTCTCTTTTACCATTCCTAATTTGCTGTCCAACCTATCCATTGAGTTCTTAATTTAGGCTATTATTTCAGTCCTAGAATTTCATTTTGGTATTTTTGCAGATAAGTCTTTTTTTTTTTTTTTAGTTTCCAGCTCTTAATTTTTTTTTTTTCATCTTTTTGAACATAGGTATTTTTAAGTCTGTGCTGGATAATTCTACAGCCCCCATGGGTCTGTCACTATTACATATTGTTTCTGTTGGTTCCCACTGGTTTTTGTTCACGTTAACTTCTTTCCTTGTGTACTTGGTTACATTTGATAGTGTACCCAGCAATACATTTGGGAAATTTTTTTAAAATAAGGCATAGGATGATATTATTGTCTTCTTTTGGAGATTTTTGTTGTTTCTCTCAGGGACTTAGAACCACTAGGAAAACAGTATGACCTGCATAAATTTTAAGGATTGAGATTTTCTGGGCCACTTAGTTGCTTCAGAGCTGGGATGCAGTCCCTACTAGTTCTGATTTATTTCTAGTTCACTCTCTCTTTTAGCATTGAACCCTTTATGGCCCCAACCCAAACAAGATGTGGGGGATTTCCCATGGCTCTCGCCTTTGGTGGGCTCTGTCTTTCAACTTTTGTCTCCCTGGTCATACCTGCTTGTTAGAAGTGCTGTTCAGTTTCTTAGGCACCTTTTCTGGAATTAGCAAATGCTCCTAGAGTTTAAAAAAAAAAAAAACCATTGTCATCAAGTCAATTCCAACTCATAGTGACCCTATGGGACAGAGTAGAACTGCCCCATAGGGTTTTCAAGGCTGTAATCTTTACAGAAGCAGACTGCCACATTTTCCTCCCACAGAGCAGCTGGTGGGTTCGAACAACTGACCTTTTGGTTAGCAGCCGAATGCTTACCCACTGCACCACTGGGGCTCCTTCCTAGGGTAAAGAAAAAACAAAACAAAACCCATTGTCGGGTTGATTCCAACTCATAGTGACCCTATAGGACAGAATAGAACTGCCCCATAGGGTTTTCAAGGAGTGACTGGTAGATTTGAACTGCCAACATTTTGGATAACAGCCGAGCTCTTAACCACTGTGCCACCAGGGCTCCTTCCTAGGGTAAAAGTAGCTATAAATTCTGGGATCACCACCTTGGAATTTAGTCTTCACCCAGATCTTGGCTTGGAAATTCATGACTACTTTATTAAGTCTCTGCAATGCATTGAAGCAGATTTTTACACTTTTTTTTCACATCTTTTCTGTTTTCCTCAGAGGAGGATAAGTTCAAATTACCCAATTTTCCATTATCAGAAATGGAAGTTTCTTTTTATTTCTGTTCAAATAGTCTCTAAATTGTGAAAGAGCTGCTCCTCCAAAAAGCACCAAGCCTAGAAGACTCACAGGGGGATTCGTGTAAGAAGCAGGATATTACAAGGCCATATTCACTGTTCCAAAGCATGGAAAAAGGAGGAAAGCTTCCAAATTCTTTTTATGAAACTAACCCATAACATTGATTCTAAAATGTGACGAAGGGCACAGGTGTGTGTGCACGCACACACACACACACACACACACGCATATACACACACACACACACAAATCCCCATGCTCTTTGGCAGTAATTAGCACCTCCAGAAAAGTCATTTAGTCTTCCTGGCTTTGGGGTACAACCCTCCTAAATCTGACATTTCTTATTTTCCAACTTAAAAGTAAAAATTAACTGAAATATTATGATGTATTTATTCAAGGACCACCGAGAGTCAAGCAAAGCCTCTCAGTACACTGAGGGGAAGAAGGACATATAGAAGTTGAGGGTGCCAGTGATGGATGTGATTATTGGTTCATCTTTCACTACTTCATATTTATAAAATGGAAAATGAATGCTCCTGAGGTGATTGAGGATTCAGTAAAAAAATGTTTTAAAGAGCCTGTGCTAAACGAATATTAGTTTCTCCTTTCCCTTGCCGTTGGTCTAAATTATAAGATTAAATGTAATTTCTAGGTGCCCTGAAGGACTGAGGCTATAGAAGTTTGGGGAAAGACGTGTGTGGAGTGAGTTGGGGGGTTAACTTTCTAGGAAGCTGGGTCAAGGCCAGTGCATCTTTGCAAGGGAATGGTAAGTGACAATGGATGAGACAGAGATTCTGCCAAGAGAGGATGTATACAGCAGGGGGAATGACTCATTTCTCATTTCATGGTGAGAAAGGAGGTCATTGACTGATACTTGTTTAAATTTCAGGCTCATCGGGGAAAAGACTGGAAATGTTGCGAGAGGAATAAATATTGCCATTGTCAACTGTAAGTCATGAAATGTTTTGTTTAAAACTTCTTTAAAAGCTCTGTAATCAGATTTTCAAAGATACCTGGGTATTCGATGATTTTAGCACACAATCTTGTCTGCGCTTGCATTTTAACACCTTTTAATATTACATATTTAATTATTTTTACAGTGCCTCATATTACAAATTATTTGCGGTTTCAACAAAAATAATTTAAAACCGTGTCCACGAAACACATATAAATAGACTTTAGAAAACAAAAAGGGACAGGCAGAAGGTAGAGTTTAAACCAAATAAGCAGTCCAGGGGGACATAAACAGTTCCTGGAGCTGAGCCTGGAAAAAAAATTCTGTCACGATTGCTGTTGGGGTCCCTGACAATAAACACCATAGCAAGTTTGGGAAGACAGTCTCATATGGTATTTCCCTACATGAGCTAAGAAGATAGTCCATTGACAGCAGGGGTGTAGGGACCCGAGACCAAACGTTCCCAGTCTGATAATCCAGTGGGAAAACCGAAACGACAAAGAGGAAAGGGGCATCCTAGTGTCCTTCAGGCCTCCTTCCCGAAGGAGATGCAGTTCATCTCCACCAGGCTTTGCTCCAAGGTAGGCAGCAGACAATCAGAAGTTATATTTTCGGGCAAGAACCTAGAGGATTACCTTCAGTCTGGACTTTTGCTGCTTCCAGGTGCATTGAAGACACTCTCTTAATTAGACTTCGTCCTCCGAAAGCACACTTATGTGGATTTTATTTTCTTCGTCCCTCCACGCAGCCAACTGCAGTCCAAGCTGCAGGGTTGAACGCACTGTACAGTCGTTAGTGGTGGTGGTGTTAGCTGCCAGCCTGTCAGCCCCCAACTCAGAGCGACCCTTTGCACAACAGAACGGAACACTGCCCAGTCCTGCACCATCCCCATGATAGGGTATGGGTTGGACCATTGTGATCCTTAGGGTTTTCGGTGGCTAATTTTCAGAAGTAGATTACCCAGCTTTTTTTTCTAGTCCATCTTAGTCTGGACGCTCCACTGAAACCTGTTCAGCATCACAACAACACACAAGCCTTCACTGACAGGTGGTAGCTGCCTATGAGGTGCATTGGCCAGGACAAACTGGGTCTTCTGCATGAAGGCAAGGATTCTATCAAGGTTGTTAGTAGACCAGGAACAGCATCTGCCCAGGTATGGCAGCCCTCTAGGGAGAGCCACCCAGGGATGAGCTGGGCTGCTTCCTGGGGAAGGCTTGACATCAGCTCTGCAGTCCTCTCCAGACCCAGTTCTGAGTCTCTGTTCCCAGCTGAACACCCCATGTCTCTTTTACAGACAACACTTCTCCTGCCTTGCCGTCCTCCACGCATGCACATACTCATGGCTTTGTGGTGAGCGGCTCAGGACTGTCCCAAATTTTCAGAGCAAGCCCATCTGCAGAAATGCCCTTTGGGCTCCCACCCTTCCCCCCACGGCAAGTCAGGGCTGTCTGACTCAATTCTGTCTGCCCTCAGTTCTGTCTGCCTCCCTGGAAGTCTCCACTAGGGCCAGCCACCACCAGGGCCCCCATGGGAGGGGCTGGCTGAGGTGAGGGCTCTGGTGTTTCCGTGGGAAGAGAAGGGTGGGTGAGGGAACAGTATAAAGGTCAAATTTAACTAAAGGAAGACCGGAAGAGAGTTCTAGAACAGCTGGCTGGTGCCCCCGTCTTTTTTACCCCACGTTAATAACGCGTCCCAGGGAGGGGCCCTCTTACAGGTGAACTCCTCACGTATTTCATGTTTTCTGGAGAGACGGGGAAGAAAGATGCCAGTTTGACAGCTGAGGTACCACAAATGCCCGCTGGGTTCAGATGAACTTCCTTTTTCAAAATGATTTCTTTTCTTTTCAGATGTAACTGGGAAGGTGATAGAAACACGGTTTTTCGATATGTATGAAGGTGGTAAGAAAAGTCTTTTCCTATTGAAATAAAAATGCATGAGAAACATGAAATCAGGATTTAAAACATTTGGACAAAAATGTCAAACTTTGTTATCTTTTCCATGAAAAAACAGATGGCTCGCAACATTGATGAGTTTTCCAGCATGATGTCATAGAAATTCTCCTAGGTTCTCATTGAGTTCATAGAATAAAGTGTGAGGGCATCGTCTAGAACATGTCTCTTCTCTGATCACGCTTTCATGCTTTCCCTGGGTCTTTGTCTTCTTTGCCATCATTTGAGAACAGGGAAGAGAAAACCTCTTTTGTTTTAACCATTAAAATAATGTCATCGGCATCCAGCCTGAAGATCATCAGCCCTGAAAAAGCCATCATAATGACTGCTATGCTCCCAGAGCCCTGCTGGGCTGGGGGCAGACATTTCTGGAACCATTAGGTGCCCATTCTCCTTCCACGGTCTTGCCATTCTGGACATTGAATTGTGGCTGCGGTTGTTAATCAGAATAGACCAGCCTCTCTTGTTTGTTCTGAACACGTAGAGTTATCGATAGAAGTCCTTATAATGATCATGAAGGACAGTAATAGAAAATAGACAATCCTGCCCAGTCTTGTGCCATCCCCATGATCAGGTGAGGACTGGACCATTGTGATCCATAGGGTTTCCATGGGCTTATTTTTGGAAGTAGATTGCCAGGCCTTTCTTCCTGTCTGTCTTAGTCTGGAAGCCCTGCTGAAACCCGTAAAGCATCCCAGCAACATGCAATCCTCCACGGACAGACAAGTGGTGGCTGCACATGAGGTGCATCAGCCAGGAATCGAACCTGGGTCGTCTGCATGAAGGATGTGAATTCTACCACTGAACCGATAGCTTATTTAACACTTAAGGTTATTGAAAACAAGTCGTCTTAAAGATCATGGAGGAGAGTAATAAAAAAATGCCTGCATCCACTTGATAGGGACTCTGCATTTCTACTCTGCCGGTCACTTACACTTAATTATCAGTTAGAAGCCCAAGTGGTAACTAAAGGGGTCTCGAGATTGATCGACCTTTATTTCCTTCGGATTAGGCACCAGTAAGTCTCTTAGCAAAGACCTCCGTGTTTCGGTTTGGTCTGCATTTGTCTTATGTCCCGTTCTGTGGGTCTCCTTTGTTCTTTGTTAGTGTCACACACGGGCCGCTCTGGCCTGGGATAGTCACAACTTTGGGTCACGGTCTTTATTCCTAATTGCAGAGAATGCTCTGCCTGTGCCGCAGAAGGTATTACCAGTTGGGTTGAGAGTTTGGTTCATGGGATCTTTATGATCTAATTTCCAAGGAGGTTCTTTCCCCCAGGGGTTCTAGTTGCCTTCTTTATTGGTCACAAGAGCTCCCTGGCATGACCCTTTTCCACTATAACCATGAATATTCCCATAGCAAGCATTCAGCAGAGTTCTTTTCCTTCTATGCCCTGCTGCCCCCTGGGATGGTCCCATCGTGGAACCCCAGCTAACAGCTTACTAGTAAAGACCCGGAGTGCCATTTGCATGGTGGGGGAAGTGCTCTAGGAGTCAGAATAGACATGGAACCCAAGTGCAGAAAGGAGTCTAGCATCTAGACTGAGATTCTCAGTTAACGGAGAAGATGCTAAGACTGGTTTCCATTGACCCAACAGATAACTCTGGACCAATGACAAAGTTTATTCAGAGTGCACCTCAGAAATCCCTGCTTTTTATGGTCACCCATGATGATGGAAGCAGCAGGTGAGTGCCTACAAAGGGTCATGGCCGTGGGCAGAAGAAGCCAGCAGGGCAGATTGTGCCAAGCCTCTATGCAGGGCCCCTCAGAACATTCTCTAGGAGAGAGCAAAAAGCTCAAGGAGCTAGATGCTTCTTTAAGGAAGAAGAATGGCAGCACATAACAAAATAGACTTTGTTTCTAAAAAAGAAAAAAAGGAAGAATCCAAATGGATAACCGGTAGAGTGTATAAGCAGTAGAATCTAGGGAATATTTCCAGGTAGCAGGAATATTCTGATGACAATTAGGATTGAAAAACTAAGCCCAGCCAGAGAAGCTAAACCCCAGGTGGGTTTACAAAAATATGAAAGGAAATTGAGGAAACATCTCTATATAAGGAACAAAAGGAGAAAGCAATACACACACACTATATGCATGGTTTTACTAGGGAGAAGTATGATTTAGCTCTGTGTTTCTCGAAGTGTGTTCTACTAAATAAGTATGTATGTTTTTACTGCTGAACTTGTAAGAACCTCAAAGTGCCTGTATGCATTATGAATTTCTGAGATGGGGCTACGGGATGCAGCATCCCCCAGACGTACTTGACCTCAGGTCCCCTTTTTCATGGAGCGTTTTGCCACATCGAACAAATCCTTGGAACACACTTTGAAAAACTCTGACTTAACTCATTTAGGAAAACTCGAAACTTTTTTTTTTTTTCTCTTCCTTTCTGCCCTTCTTCCTTTGCTCACTCTAAATCGGCCATATTGTTTCGATTTCCTGGTGTCTTTTTTGAAGCTGACTTTTCTGAATCTGAAAGGGACAGTTTTCGACTTTTTCTTCGGTCTGTTAGTGACATCTGTCAACTTTGTTTTTTTGGCAGCGAACAAGAGGGCAACAAGGACAGGAAATAGGCTGAGTGTGAGGAGAGGACTAGACCCCACACACAAGGGCTTTTCAGAATTGGGACCTAAAATTTTGTGCCAAACATTGAGGTCTAAAAGGGCCCTGGGTCTTGTCACATGGTGAACTAGAAATTGACCATACTGTTGGGGAAATAGAATTTTCCCCAAATCTCCTGCCAACCCAGAAAACCTCTCCACAAAAGTAGAAGAGAAAGAAAACAGTGTTATTACTGAATAAGAAATCAACCAGAGTGTGATGAGCATCACAGACGGTCTGCTAAAGAGATTGCAAAGACAGAAAGAAATCTGACCCTTTATATAGCCAAGCAGATAAGGCCCATTTCATACGTGGTCTTAAGATAAACAATGACTAAGCCTCAAGTAAGAGGACTTGGCAGCATCATTTGTCACGCATAAACCAAAAAATCAGTTGCCATCGAGTCAACTCCAACACATGACAATCCCACGTGTGTCAGAGTAGAACTCTGCTCCCTAGAGTTTTCAAGGACTGATTTTTGGGAAGTAGATTGCCAGGGCTTTCTTCCAAGGCACCTCTGGATGGACTCGAACCTCCACCTTTCAGTTAGCAGCCAAGCATGTAGCTGTTGTTATACATTAAAAAAAAAAATTGCCATTGAGTCGATTCTGACTCATAGGGATTCTACAGGATGAACTATGTATGTGCTGTTACACATAGTTCATTCTGAATCCACCTGGTAATTGGGATTTATCCAAAGGGAAAGTAAATTTCTCCCATCATTATGACAAGAGTGGGCTGTAACTTGGAGTCAGGTGCCTGCTGAAATTAGTCTCCTAACCTCCTTGTGGAAACTGGGAGACAGGGGTGCTATCTTCCTTCTTCCTTGATGATGACATTTCAAAGAGATGGCTCCCAGGTCCTTGAGAAACACATTCCTGGGTTGTAAAACCAGGTAACGATGCTCTCCAAGAAATGATGCTAACATAAGACTGGTTCAGAAGAGGAGCGAAATCTTTTCCACCTTTAAAAAGATTGACATACATTTCAAAAGAGACAGAGAAATAAGTTATAATTCCAAGTTCCTTAAAGTTAATGCCACAAAGCGGGGAGAGACGTCTCTTGGCCTTTTTGCACCAAAATTATTTCTTTTTCCCCCCATTGGTAAAAACCAAAAACAACCAAACCCATTGCTGTTGAGTCGATTCTGACTCATAGCGACCCTATTTCCATTGGTATTTACTATTTCCATTGGTATTTACCTTTAAAATTCAGCCAGTCTGTGTGCCATCCATCCTCCTACCATACACCATAGGAGGAGAGGAGGGTGCTTAGAAATCTCTGCCCAGGAACAAACACGCATGTAACATGTGACCGTCTCTTGTACTGGAGCCTCCATGTGTGAGACATTCATGTGCCTTTCCTTCTGCTCCTCAGGCTGAAGGATGATGCCAAGAACGCCATTGAAGCACTTGGAAGTAAAGAAATCAGAAACATGAAATTCAGGTCTAGCTGGGTATTTCTTGCATCAAAAGGCTTTGAACTTCCTGCAGGTATTCAGAGAGAAAAGGTGAGTCATTTTTAAATATCCCTTCTCACAAATGGTCAGTATAGTAAGTGCTATGATTGGAAAAGGTTGCCAATCAGTCTGAATTCCTGGCCTGCAGACATGTCCCTGTATAGAGTGAATGCCATGCAGAGTGGTGGCACCACTGGTGGGATCCAGAGGGGGCGGCTGCGGAGGTTTGCATGCTGGCTCCCCGCTCACTCTGTGTGTGCTCTGAGGCAAGTTCCCAACCTCTTGGCTGGATTTCCTCACCCCTGTTGTGTTGTTAGTTGCCATTGAGTTGGTCCCCAAGTCATGGCAACCCAGTGTACAATGGAACAAAATACTGCCTGGTCCTGTGTCATCTTCATGATCAGTTGCAGAAAGGACTGTTGTGATCCATAGGGTTTTTGCTGGCTTATTTTTAGGAAGTATATCACCAGGCCATTGTTTCTAGTCCATCTGATTCTGGGAGCTCCACTGACCCTGTTTAGCATCATAGCAACACACAAGCCTCCACTGACAGATGGGTGGTGGCTATGCATGGGGTGCATTGGCTGGGAATCGAACCTGGATCTCCTTCATGGAAAGCAAGAATTTTACCACTGAACACCAATGCCCCTGCTTCCTCATTCTTAAATTGGCAAAAAAAAAAAAAAAAAAGAAGAAGAAGATGTCCTGGATGATGCAAATGGTTAATGCTCTTGATTGGCAACCAAAAGGTGGCAGTTCAAATATACCCCAAGGTGTCTCAGAAGAAAGGCCTGGCAGTATACTTCTGGAAAAAATCAGCCATTGAAAACCTTATGGAGCACAGTTCTACTCTGACACACGTGGAGTCTCTGTAAATCAGAGTCAACTGGAAGGCAGCTGGTAAAATCTGGGTAACCTTATGCTTTCCATATAGTGGGTCCTTAGTATGTTATTATATGTAAAGCAGTCCATAATAAGTTGTTCAGAAACCGTTCCCATTAGATCAGCATTAGAAACGCACTTGACTGAAGTTGCAAATTTCCCAAATCTCTTTACAAGTAGAAAATCCAAATGGGCTGTTGATATTGATATTCTAACACACTGCAGCCAACATAGTCTATCCTGAATCTCCCTGTTCTTGGGCATCTGTTTAAACTCTCTGCACCTCTGTTTTGGGGATAGTAGTAGTATGTACTTCCTTGGGTGGTTGGAGTTCCAGGGTGGTGCAAATGGTTAAGCGCTCATTGGCTAACCAAAAGGTTCGAGGTTCAAGTCCACCCAGAGGCACCTCAGCAGAAAAGTCTGGTGATCTACTTCTAAACAATCAGCCATTGAAAACCCTATAGAGCACAATTCTCTGTACACATGGGGTTGTCATGAGTCAGAGTTCACTCAACAGCCACTGATGGTTCTTAGGGTGGTTTAGAGGGTTAACCGAGGTGATGTAGGCAAAGCACTTAGGACGGACAAGGTGAGCACCAAGAAAGCACTCATAAATGTCAGTCTTCATTGTTGTAGCTGTCATTGTAGGACTGATTATAAATCCCTCCCATTATGTTCTTTGTTTATCAAAGACAAATAAAAAGCAAGACAATGAAGTTGTAACTTATTAACTACTAAGTCAGCTGCGGAAATTCCAACAGAGAGTTGGCAAAATGTGTCCTGAGCCATGAGCTGATAACCTCTGGCAATGGTCACGCCAGCCTCTTTCTTTCGGGTGGTGCTGCCTCCAGGGAACAATCCCGGTTCAGGAGAGGAGGCTGCCAAGGAGCATGTGAGAGCTGGAGAGTGCAAAAGGAAGACGTGGCATATTTGAATTATGGTGTTGGTGAAGAATACCGAATATACCATGGACTGTCGTAAGAATGGACAGATCAGTCTTAGAAGGTATACAACCAAAATGCTATTTAGAAGCAAGGATGGTGAGACTTCATCTTGCTTACTTTGGACATGTCATCAAGAAGAACTAATCGTAGAAAAGGACATCACTGGTAAAGTAGAGTGTCACCGAAAACAAGGAAAACCCTCCATGAGATAGATTGACATGGTGGCTCCAACAATGGGCTCAAACATACCAACAATCATGAAGATGGCACAGGACTGGGCTACATCTCATTCTGTTGTACATAAGGTTGCCATGAGTCAGAGCTGAGTCAACAGCAACTGTCAAGAACCAAGGAGCAAGACCTCCATACTGGACGTTATGAAGATAAGGTCTTCCTTTCTATTTAGCTCAAAATTCAAAGGCGGAAGAGATTTCTAAGTCTCCCAGGGTGTAGACATGGTTGCCTCTGACTTAAGGCTCAGACATGGGGTCCCAGCTCCAACTCCTTGTGCTGTCTGGTTACGGGTTCGGGAAAGAAGACAACAGTAGCAGCTGGGCATCTGGGCACCACTTTATTGGCAAGTGGACCCCAGGGGGAGAAGGGGATTGGATAAGGTACAACTTCAGTGCAAGCCGAACAGCCTGAAAGCCCATGGCTGGCTCCTTAGAGGGGCCCTGGGACTCTCCGATACTCTCTATCCTGGTACTGTACCCACTGGAAAAAAAAAAAAAAAACTGCCCTCAAGTCAGTTCCAATTCATAGCAACCTATAGGACAGAGTACAACTGCTCCATAGGGTTTCCACGAAGTGGCTGGAGGATTCGAACTGCCAGCCTTTTGGTTAGTAGCCATAGCATGCCGTAGATCTTAACCACTGTGCCACCTAGTACTCCAGAGGCCCAGAAATCGTCGATATTTTAGCCTGCCTTGTAAAACCCTGCTCCTCATCTAAAAAGCAGATTTTCTGCTTGTACCTCTTCTGTACAAGCAGAAGACAGTGTCAGGAGTGCTTTTCCAGGGCCCCAGCCTGGACACTTGGGTCTGGACACTTTAGTGTATGCTCAGGACCTCATCAGTTTGTCCTAACAAGTGAAGGATGCTCTGTGCTGTTAGTGATGGTGATTCCTGAGCCACCACCGATGCCACCCGGACCCACCTGGACTGGGAGACAGGTGGCTGGGAGTCCAGAGTTAGGTTTGCCAGTGGGACACGTGTGGCCCTGAAGGAGTCACCTCACCTCTCTGGGCTTCAGTGTCCTGACCTGTACAGTGAGATATGCAGGTGTGATGTGAGCATGTGCCACCCGTGCCCTTGGCTGTCCTGCTCCACAGCGTCCCACACACTGACTCTGCTCAGTTGATATGGGCTCATCTTTCCCGTCAGCCCTGGTGTGTTCAGAAGACTTACAGACTTCCCTGCTTTGCCCACTTAGCTGTGTGGTCTCCGGCCAGTTGCCTCAGAATCATCACCAGTGAGAAAGGGATAAGGTGATACCTATCTCATAAGGTTCCCTGAGGATTAAACGAGAGAAACACATAGGGCATTGAGCAACACTCCAGGCAGAGTCGTGAAACTCACAGCAGCTGTGTTTGTCCAGGACTTCCCCACCAGGCCAGCCCCAACACAGACCCCTCTGCACTAATCGGCGAACACTGTCCTTCCCAGCCTGGGTCTCTTCAAGGAAGACTAATGCCCAGGTCCCAGCAGGCCAACTGAATCAGAATCCCTGAGCGCAGGGCCGGGCCAGGTACTTCTAATGCACCAGGAGGTTGAGACGGCATGGCATGGATTGCAGAAGGCAATGGAGGCCCCAGTTATATGTGGTCATTGCAAACCGATGTTCACTGCAGCATTATTCACAACAGCCAAACAGTGGAAACAGCTTCAGTGTTCATCAATAGATAAATGGATATACAAAATGCAATCTGTGCATGTAATGGAATACCAGTCTGCCGTAAAATGAAGTTCTGATACATACTACGGCATGGATGAACCTTGAAAACATTATGCTGAATGAAATAAGCCAGGTGAAAAAGAACAACTATTGTATGAACCCACCTGTATGGAATATCTAGAATAGGCAAATAGACAGAGACCAACATTCATTAGTGGTTAGTTACCAGGGGCAGGCAGGAGGGATGGGGAAGGAGGACTCAACGCTTAGGTGACACCAAGCTTCTGTTAAGGGTGATGGAAAAATTCCGAAATGGTTAATGGTGATGGTTAAACAACATTATGAACATTATTAATGTCACGGAATTGTACATGGGAAGGTTGTCAAAGTGCCACATTTTCTTGCATATATATTTACCACATATACTCAAGAACTCCAGCCTAAAGGTCCCTCCCTTCTAACATCTCTGCTGTTTCTCCCACTGCCCTGCCCCATTCCCTACGTCGCCTTACACCCAGTATCCCCTTTCGTCCTCCACAGTCTCCCTCAGCATCCCCAGGTGCCTGGCCCTGCCCTGCCCTTACTGCCCCAACTTACCTAACCCAGCAGGCAGGACCACTGTGGGCAGTCGGGGGCACCATGCCAGCTAGGGACGTCCTCCAGCTGTTAGCACCTGCTGTTGCTATTATAACCAACAATATCAGTCCCCATCTGCCTTATTTCGGCGTCTAGACTGTATCAGAAAATCTGGGGAAGGGGCCTTAAATCCCTTTTAAGTCACATGTGAATGTCTCAGCAAACAGGCTGACTATTAACATTTAGCTAAGATGCACAAAACAGAACCTTACTAGAATTGCAAAAGGGGTAGTGGCGGTGGTCCTTCTCCTATATTCTTTATAAGAACAGGTGTTTGAGTTTGGAGAATGTATCCATTTTGACACAGTGGTTCTAAAGTGGATTTTAGTAAAACATCTGCCTCGCCTACATGTATGGATTGAAAGTTATTGTCCAAGCACATAGGTTCCCAGGCTCCCGGGGCGGGCGGGTGGATTTGGAAATATTTCACCGAGGCCTAGGCAGTTCCCGGAGGAGCCCTGCTGGGACAGTGGTTAAGCGCTTGGCTGTTAACCAAAAGGTCAGCAGTTCCAACCCACCAGCTGCTCTGCGGGAGAAAGATGTGGCAGTCTGCCTCCGTAAGGAGTTATAACCTTATAAACCCTATGGGGCAGTTCTACTTTGCCCTGTTTGGTCGCTATGAGTCGGAATGACTCCAGGGCAGTGGGTTTTTTGGTTTGGTCAGGTGGTTCCCTGTCGGGGGCAGACTCAGGGAAG